ACTGATGACGGCTAAGGGGCCCTCTTGTCTTTGTCAGCAATATTCATTTGAAAGTCAATTTATTGGCTAAATCAAGCACCACAGACGAATGCGGATGACCGGTTTAGCATTAAGCTACAGTGTGTACTTGTTTAATGACAAAATATAAGGAAGCGAAACGCACAAATAGTAACTCACCACCGAATGGTTTCTCTTCAGGCCACAAGATTAGACGAACGTATTCTACACAATGTTCGGGCAATCGTGGAGTGTGAGCTATGGTACAGAGGGGGTAGTTAACTTGGGGTGGATACAAGTCTAGGCTGCATTCAACACAACCCGTAATCCCAAAAAGCACGACAATAATGTGGCCCTTGAAGCCTTCTGTACCACCATCGACTAGGGGGATTATGCTGTAGGGATCCGGAGTTCCATCTTCGTTATAGCGGACTAGACTCGCCTAGAAAACCGCGTTAGTGTAAAATAGAACGAAGCATACCAGCATGCTATTGATCCACCGTCTGGCAATGACGGAGTCAAGACCACATACGACGATATCAAATTGGCGATAGAAGGACTCGTCAAAATCTTCCAACTTCTTGAAATGTGGGGTGACGGTACAGGTCTCCACCCTTTTCATGATAAACTCAGCCGCCACTTCAGCTTTAGGGCGACCGATATCACGCACTGAGAAGAGGAACTGACGATTGAGATTGGAGATGTCAATGGTGTCCATGTCAATTACATCCAGGTTTCCAAAGCCCATCAAAGACTAAAGCAGATTCAGAGTGCTAACGCAACATTTACCAGGGACTTGAGCAGTTCACAACCCAACCCACCGGCGCCAACCACGAGTACACGCACATCCCGTGCAATCATTTGGACGAGCTAAAGATGCGTACCTGTTAAAAAGAACAAAATAAAGCCAACCTCAGTGGATGGTTCGAACTCACTACGCTGCATCGGTCCCTTGCGTCCAAGGATGCATTCGATAGCAGCCCAGCGGACCGCCTTATCACAGTTGGGGGAAGACGTCATTTGAGTGAGGGCCTTGACTGAAATACAAGCATTGTGAGTAAAACTTTCATGATTTTAAAACAGCAGAAGTGGATCAGAAAATTCCGGCGCATATAAATATAGCGTTCGAAGTCGTAAATAAGGATGAGGAAAGGAATGAGGGTGGCTGTTTAGTGGAGCGCGGCAGCGTGCCTAAACAAGCAAACATCACTAAGGCAGGCGCGTCAAAGAACTACAATAGGTTAAGCATCTCAAGAAACGTGAATCAAAGTTCTTAGATGAGATTTCGGCTGGAAATTATTATTTGGGTGGGGCCGTTTGATAATTCAACCACGCCAGGATGTCGGTTTTTGAAAGCGCCTTCTTATGTCAACGAGAAAAAACGCTATCCGACCAAATTATAACTTGAATAGCAAGACTTCATTCAGTGATTCTCAATGCCCTATATATATCTGAACACGTTCTATAAAATAAAAAACAAGAAAGAATATTTTTTTTGATAAAAAATTACATCTACCTACAATTTTATGCTGGAAAGGGTCATTTTCAATTTTAACAATGTTTCTAAATTCCTTATTTTTTGAAATCAACCTGCTTTTGCACGTGTGTTCAGATCTCTTAAACTAAAAGCTGTACACTTTCTATTTAAAAAAATCAAAATGCCATTGGGCTAAAGATTTTTTTCAATTAACAGGGACTATGTTATATATTTAATAAACAGGATTAATATATGGGCAGATACTATGTTACTTGAGAAAAAATGTCACAGTTTTAAGAAACCTTATAATCACGTAGTTTTTAAAGTTTACTTAAATATATGACACAAGGACAAACGATATTTTCACACAGACTTTCCATAAAATAGTTTATAGACTTATAAATACAACGCAAATAAATGGAAAAATCATAGTACTTAAGTACCCAGTTTTAGTCAATGTGGTTTTTACAGGCTACCGGAAAGACGCGCACTCAATGGCGGGCACGCTGGTGTGAATGAAATATCTTGCAATTACGCTACATGCCAATAAATGTTGCGACGCCACCCAAGTAATTATCTGAAACAAAAATCACATCTGTGGAACTAAATGAACGTTTCAAGAGGTACGTAATCGACTGAAAAAGTCACGAGAGCGATGATGGTCCGCTTTCTCAAATTGGGCAAGCTGTTGGAACCTTGGTTGATTTCAGTTGAACAACACGCTTTATGGAGTCTGAATTGACTATCAGTGAAGAATGGCATAATTAGTAAAAAATGAAGGGGCGAGTTCCAGGAGGTATTTCCGAAAAAGGAGAAACGATTACTTTGATAAGAGTTGTGTGAGCCTGACTTTTCAGATTCTCACTCTAACTCGTCATCAGAGACAAAGTCAGATAAGGGTAGTTGATGGAGTCGCGCGAGATTCCTAAACGTCAGGCTAATGAAGCTCTTGTTCCGGTGATCGTGGGGTACGTACTGAAGGATTCGCCATACGGATAACACTAGATAATGACAAAAACCCAGCAGAACAACCTAATCTTAAGGGGTTTCTGAGGACTGCGATTATCACCTTATTAAACAATGGCGGCCAAGCAGGCCATCTCAGTCGGGTCATCATCAAAAAGTTTAGATGAGGCTCAGGTAACCCAAATTATATAAATCTATTGGGATTCTATGATAAGTAAATTCATCAATTAATAGTGTCGGATCAAACTGAGGAGACCAAAGTAACCGAAGCGTTCGAACATATAATAGCTAGACAAATTAAAACAACATGAGGTCATTTTTTGGGGAAAAAGGAAACGCGCACCTTGCAAGGCGGAGTTTCTCAGCGCAACACTGGCATAGTTTAGGGTGTAAACGACCTATACAACCTTGGCGCTTTTATCATATGATGACGCAAGCAACATGGAGATGTGATGTGTTGAAAGAAATTTCCATTTGGAACGATGGTCTAAATGAGGCTGCAGTTGCCAAAGTGGTCAGGCAAAAGATTTTTAAACGTACTGCAAATCATTGCCATCAAAAATTGCATGTGTGAATCTGTGTTGTACCAGCGCCATTGTCACAGTTGTTGTAGTTGACACGAGATGAAGATTACAAGCATCAATTAATTTTTACGAGAAAGACCACGAGACAAGGCCTTGACAACCATGCTATTCAGAAGATTGCGTTAGACAGCTTTATAGTTACAAATATCTGTTTTGGACATCCAAGGATATATTCAGTCGATTACAATCGCATTCGAGATCCTTTTAGTGGAAGACAAGTGGATCAATTTAGGGACCGGTAGACAAAAGTAAGTATCACCTCCATAAGGGGGCGTCTGGTTAAACAATTCAACTAGCTGCTAATGAGAGCGACTAGTCTCAAGCGGGGTCAGACTTTCAGAGACTTGTAGCGTGAGACCATGTGTGTTGCAGGAAAGAATCGGAATGAAAGTTGGGGTAAGGCCTCCAGTGAAGATATGGTGAACTAAAAATGTCTTTGGCATGTACATACATTCGGTTTTAGGAGCATAACACAACTTTAAACCCCGGTAGGTTAAGCGGTCGCGTATATTTCCAAGTTCAGAGAAGCGCTACCGAATGAATAAGACCGTGATTACAGTCCACCATTCACTAGGGGATAGATGACACGAAGAAGAAAAAAGCGAAGAACAAAAATTAGCAGACGAGGAATGCTTTTGGGTAGAAATTCAGAAGCACCGCTTGATAACGTCCAATCAGTCAAACGACGTCCTGGCCTGAAAGTCGGAAGCCGAGGCGACGTCGAGGCGATCTAATTTTTCTGTTCCGCTTGGTTGTGCTCAAACA